CCCCAAAACCCCAAAACCCCAAAACCCCAAAACCCCTATTTCACAATTTAGATTTGAAGGAAATTATTAAAATAATTTAAATAATAAAGATGTTCGCTAATCCAATGAGGCAAGCACCGGTTATGGTTCTCCAGAACAATACAAAAAGAGAGCAGGGTAAGAAAGCTCAGCTTTCTAACATCAAGGCTGCTAAAGCTGTTGCTGATGTAGTAAGGACTACTCTCGGTCCCAGCTCCATGCTTAAGATGCTTTTGGATCCAATGGGAGGTATTGTCATGACAAATGATGGAAATGCTATCCTTAGAGAAATCGATGTTGCTCATCCAGCTGCCAAGAGTATGATCGAGCTGGCCAGAGCCCAGGACGAAGAAGTCGGTGATGGAACCACTTCCGTCATTGTTCTTGCAGGACAAATCCTCCAAGCAGCTGAGATATTTATTGAGAAGAGAGTGCATCCAACAGTTGTGGTAAATGCTTACTTCAAGGCAATGGAAGAGATCCTTAAGATCACTGAGGAGCTCGGCGTTGACATTGATGTTGACAGCGAAGAAGACATCAAGAAAATAGTCACTAGCTGTATTGGTACTAAGTTCTCTCACAAATGGGGAGATCTCATTGTGGATTTGGCCATCAAGGCTACTAAAACCGTTCTCAGACAATCTGGTAAGGAAGTTGAGATTGACCTCAAGAGATATGCTAAGGTAGAAAAGATACCAGGAGGAACCATTGAAGACTGTACTGTCCTTGACGGTGTAATGTTTAACAAAGATGTCACACACGGAGAGATGAGAAGAAAAATTGAGAATCCAAGAATTGTCCTTCTCGATTGTCCACTCGAATACAAAAAGGGAGAGAGTATGACCAATATCGAGATGAGCAATGAGGAAGATTTCAAGAAAGCTCTCGAGTCAGAAGAGGAAGAAGTCAGAAAGATGTGTGAGCACATCTTGAGAGTCAAGCCAGATATTGTCATCACAGAGAAAGGAATCAGTGATTTCTGCCAGCACTTCTTAATGAAGGGAAACAATATCACTATGATTAGAAGAATCAGAAAGACTGACAACAACAGACTTGCCAGAGTTTGTGGAGCTACTATTGCTCACAGGCCAGAAGAGCTTCAGGAAGAAGATGTAGGTACCCTGAGTGGTCTTTTTGAGGTAAAGAAAATTGGAGATGATTACTTCACCTTCGTTACTGAAAGTAAGAATCCAGAAGCTTGCTCCATTTTATTGAGAGGAGCTTCCAAGGATGTCTTGAATGAAATCGAAAGAAACTTGCAGGATGCTATGCAGGTAGCCAGAAGCGTTATCATTAATCCAAAGCTAGTTCCAGGAGGTGGAGCTTTAGAAATGGAGCTTGCAAGCAGACTTATTGAGCACTCCAAAGAAGTTGAAGGACTTCAACAGTGGCCATTCAAAGCATTGGCTTCTGCTTTAGAAGTTATCCCAAGAACTCTTGCTCAAAATTGTGGAGGAAATGTAGTCCGTTTGATGACTGAACTTAGAGCTAAGCACAGCAAGGATGATGGTCTCTGGTATGGAATTGACGGAAACAAGGGAGTCATTGCTAACATGAAAGAAATCGATATCTGGGATCCAGTTGCAGTAAAATTACAGACTTACAAAACAGCAATCGAATCCTCATGCATGCTTCTCAGAATTGATGATGTCGTATCCGGAATGAAGAAGACTAAAAAACAAGCTGCTCCTCAACAAGAGGAAGAACCAAGACCAGATGAGGGACACACCTTCGGAGATGAGAGAGACGGCTAATCCCTAACATCATTAATATAAATATATATTCTAAATCAACTCAACACTTGAATAAAGGGGTTTTGGGGTTTTGGGGTTTTGGGGTTTTGGGG